AACTACTCTTCGCGTGCTTAAGAATGGCGACGGCACAGACCTTGTCAATACACATGATCATGATAATGATGAGCACGCTCATCTTCATGATCACAATAAGGCTGTCCACCCAATGATTCATCACCCACATCAACTTTGGCTATTGATTGTTGGTGCCATCTTTCATGTTCTTGGCAATATAGTGTTTACTGTTTATAGATATTCGTTTAACGCGTAAGTTTTTCTCATTCCTTATCTTCTATAAATTATAATTATGTACTGACCATCTTCTACATATTCAATTATTTGTTATATCACAGCCTTCTCGCGTTCTTTTTCAGTTACTGTATTACATACCCTGCCTATGCTTACTTTATATATTTAGACCAACATGTCACAAGTATTTATCCACAAAAACGTATTTATGTCCCTGACACGCCTTTTTGGAAAGCCGCCGTCATTGCTATTTGTTCAATTACACTCGCACTTTTAACTATGCGTTTTGGTGTATAATAATCAATAGCTATTTGTAATTTATATTTGATTCAAATTTTCTTTTTTTTTTTTTTTGCAATAAATTATACAAATTTGAAATGATGAAATCAACTTGTATTCCTGCGTTACTATTCTTAAAAAATTCTAAAGTTATTTGTTTTAACTGGACTTGCTGGAATTGTTTTCCCATTTTCTAATGTAAATTCTAATGTTATAACGTCCCAATGATTTATAATTCATTTAGTTAAAAATAAACTTGAATTTTCAATTTTACTATGTAGATAATAATCAAAATCAGTCAATTATTGATCAATAGTTGAATTTGATCGATCAAGAAAATTTTATAGAATACATTATTATTTTTAGATTTTTTTTAGCGTTAGTAGATAAGATATAATCGATCAATTATTGACCTGATAATTGATCGATTATATATACTCGAGCTTATAAATTAGATGCTTGATCATACTCGATCAAGAGCAATGTTTTTTTTTGTCGAGTCAATTTACTACAGTCTATACTGTCTAATTGCATATCATCCGTCAGAGACTTTTTTATGCATATAGACAGTATATGCATTTAAGTCATAGTAACCATTTTGGTGTTAATAATAAATAGCCAAAATTTTTTATGCACTTAGAGAGTATATGCAATTATACAGTATGCATTTAGACAGTATCTACTGTACTTGAAACACTAATTAAAAATATTGGGGAGGTGATTTTACCTATATACTTACCCTCTCCTTAACCCTGGATTATCCATAATTTTAATTAAATGAAACTAATATTATCGAAACTTCTTTTCGATTTTCTTATTTGGAAGGGCATTTGAAGAGAAGCAACTAAAGTTAGGATTAGAGTTGTTTTGAGGTTAGGAATTGAGCAAGTATTATAGGTAAAATTGCCCTTCCAACATTTCATACCAGGTATTTTTTGTTTGTAGAAAAAAAATTTGCAATTCGATTTTAATCGAAAAATTTTATGTGTGACAAGCATGTCACTGTAGTACGCACATTCAAAATCAATAATTACTTTTATACTTTATTCTAAATAAAATACCTAAGAGTTTAACCCAAACTGAAGGTTTTATTCATATAATAATAGTATCATTTTGCCGATGATCGTATGGGTATTAAAGATAAACCACCATTTATTATTAAAATAAATTCAAAATGGATTATTCGAGTTAAAATGAAAATAAGAAATCATCCAATCAGTTAAATATATCGATATGGGTTCTTAATAACTAATACTATAGACCTGTCGATTAGTAATGATTTGTACTGTACAGTACGTATTGATGTCTGGATTACTATATGACTTGCCAATATATCATTATAAATCACGTATACTAGATCTGCTCTACCAATACACTAAGGTATGCACTGTAAATTCTTATAGTTTTGTTGCTTGAAAGTATCCTCTCAGAGATTTTAACGGCAACTTCCAAGATATCTTCAACTAAGTTAGACTAGATTACACAATATAACGTAAGTAAAATCTAATAATATTCCGCTAAACAGTGGAAATATGTGTGTAAGAGCTCTATTTCATTAATTGTGTGAACTAAAGATCGTGATGCGATCTCGATTATGATCACATTTTAATTTTTGTTAATTTTCCAATCAGATAAATGTCTTTCTACCAGCTACCGCTACGTACGTACGTATTTTATATCATGTGACTCAGCTTGAGCTGGCTCGAGCCGGCCTGGTTGAATCGATTCCAACTCATTGTCAATCTGGCTTTATCATAAGCCGTCCCTATCCCTAGATTTAGTGTTAGGGTTTGAAAAGATTTTCATACGTAACTATACAAGTGGCAATCAAGATATTTATAAATTTTATTCAGCAAACTCAATTTGATGCAAATGAATTTAAAGACATAGCTGAATGGGTACCTTTTAACAAATTTACAAATATAAAGTACTTTGCTAAAGGAAGCATTGGTACTGTTTTTAAGGCGATATGGACTGATGGATATAAGATTCGATCAGGAAAAAAAATGAATGGAGGAAAGAGCAGAAAATAGGTGCTTTATTAAAAGGCCTCAATAATTCTAAAGATATAAAACAAGAAGTTTTAAAACTATTATATAAATTATTATTCTAAAATTGTACGTAGTGTTTTGTTAAACATTTTATAGTAGGTGGTGGAGGCAAATCAGCAGTTTCGATTTATGGAAATAACTAAGAGACCAAAAAATGATACGTAATTATATGATGATTATGCGTTATGCAAAGCAAGAAAGTCTCCGAAATTGATTAGATAGTAAGTATAATGACTTAGATTGGGGTTCTAAAATAATTATTTTATATAGTTAATGGGCTTCGCGTAATTCATGAAGTCAAATTAGTGCATAAAGATCTTTCATTCCGAAAATATTTAGTCAAAATATATTTAATCTTTATATTATTGATTTTTGCTTATATAGGCCGATGTCTCAAGCACAAATTCTGATAAAATTTACGGAGCACTTTGCTATATTGATCCAGTTGTGTTATATAAAAGAAATGTGTATAGTGAAAAACCAGATATTTATTCTTTTGGAATAATCATATCAGATGTGTTTAATAGATATCCCCCATACTACGATATCCAACGTGATTTTGGCCTTGCATTAAAGATTTGTCTCATACTTAAAATTAGATATGCGAAGTCCTTCAACTACTTTTGGATTTGATGAATAAATGGGATCTTTGCTAGGAAAATGACCCTTCGAGGCTATGTTGATTTTGTAAATAAAAATTAAATCTGCCAACCATATACAGTAGTTATCCAATTTGAATGAACTTTTTTTTTTATTTTGTGGAGCTAAATAAACTCTACAAAATAAATAAAAAAAAAGATCATTCGAATTGGATGACTAGGTGGCCGGCATATTTAATTTCTATTCACAAAATCAACATAGCCATGGAGGGTCATTTTCTTAGCAAAGATCCAAATGCTTAGATGCCGAACCACAGATCCGACCAATAGCTAAAGAAGTAATCGACATACTGAATCAATTTTATAGATTTGAAAAATGAAAGAAACCGGATTATATAAACAAGTTAAAGAAATTGAAGACTCAAGCAAAAATTCCTTAACATATTATCAAGGAAAGTCGACACTAATCAATTACCAGCCCTGTAAGAAAAAGTGGCACGTAGTACAGTCCAAAATGGCACGGGAAAAACAACCATTACATACCTCCGCAAAAAATTTAACGTGCAAATCACGGTCCACAAACCGTTCCTTCACTGCAATTTCCGTAGAAAAACGTACCAGAAAGCCGTGCCAAAATCCGTGGATTTTGATTTAGTAAACTGCTGCGAAATCCGGTCCATTTACTGTTCAAAATTTACGGGTAAACGTGCCAAAAATGGCACGGTGAAAAGAAACCATCCCGTACCTCACGTGTCAATCACGGTGCACTATCCCGTGCCTTTCCGTTATTTTAGTGAACGTGCCAAAATACGTGTATTTTGGCTTAGTAAACTGCTGCAAAATTCGGTCCATTTGCGGTCCAAAATTCACACGTAAACCCGTAATGGCACGGGACATCAACACGTACCACTTTTCTTACAGGGCAGACGCTATTTATACAAGCCTAAGTTTAAATTATCAAGATCTTCCAAAACCAGGTATAATAATATTTTATTTAAAAAATTAGAAATGCATTATTAATAGTCTTATTATTATATTCCTAAATCTGTGAATATAGTAAATGCAGGTAATGATCTTTTCAATTAGATTTAAACAGCATTTTTTTAAAATATATTTATATGTATATATTTCTTTAGCAAGTAAACCAATTGGTCCTACAGAAATTCCCGATAGTGAGTAATAATTTACTTACGCTCATGATTAAACAAATTAATTGTTTATTTTTATTTTGGTATTAGATTACTAAATTCATACCAAGAGAAATTGATTTATAGCATAAAGATATAGTGTTATTGTTATACGTCGCTTTGGAATTTATGTTGACAGAAGTCATTTTGGGATCGGGATTTGACATAAAAGGTAAAATAAAAAAAATAAAAATTATATTTTATTAAAAAAAAAAAAATCTGCAGTACGCTCTTATTTCAATATTTATTCAGATCATAATGAAATCCAGATTAAAATGAAATGATAGTATAGAATCTCGAAAACTAAATTTTTTTGGGATAAAATAAAACCCTACTCTTTCCCGTACATCACTAAAATTAAGTAAACAAAAAA